GTTTGTGGTATGCTTTAATGAATTTGTGATATGCTTTATGATGAAGAGGTTTTTAATGTGATTCAAGGAACTTGTGATCAGTTTGAAGAAACTTGTGGTCTTCTTCCGAGAACTTATAATATGTTTTAACAAACTTGTGGTCTGCTTTAATAAACTCGTGGTCTGTTTTATGAGGTTTCTGGTATGCTTCAGGAAACTTATGATATGCTTTAAAAAACATGCGCTTCCATATACAAATTATAGTTTGGTACATAATAGATTTTAAGATTTAGTGCCAAAATTATTATTTTTACATATAAGCCCTACAAAAGTTGATGAAAAAAATACATTGTAGTACCTAAATATTTATGTCTTACATTTTGATAACTGGGTTTTTAAAAGTTTACAAATAGGTCCACATGCATGTGCCTCCTTTTTTTTTTATAATGACAAGTGTTCCCCTCCCTTTATAATTGTAGTCAACCCCTTTGAAATAAAAAAAGTCATAACAACGAAATGTTCATATTGGCAAGAATCAGTATTAGCATGATGCTATTGAAAAAACGGCTAGCATCCTAACATCTGCAACTGAATTAAGTCCAAACTCTTCATGATTTAATATAAAATTTCACTTAAACAAGTAATTAATGTTCCTTATCGTTGGATATTATATAACCGATAGATCTCTTGATCACGACGTTACCACTTGACTAGACGAAAGACACTTGACTAGACGAAAGACACGTAATTTTTTTTTTAACAATGATGATGGACTTTATTAAAGAGAACAGAGTTCAGAAGCAGATTCCCACAAGGCATGAGAAAGAACAAAGAAGAACAAGAGCACAAATGCCAAAAAGAAAAAGGAGAGAGAAATAAAGAAAAGCGTTGAAAGGACCAGCAGAAACGGAAAGGGAAAATACATAGGGTCAGAAAAACCCCAAAGTAGAACTAGGGGCCCCTAGCAGAGGAATCCTGACGAACGGCAGCACATCTGCAGAGCCAATTCTGCAAAAAAAAAAACCATCCCATGATCTTTATCAATCTTTCTATGAGCCGTGATCCACTCAATGGTTGCTCTCATAGTCTTCCTATCTACCACGAAAGGGGTACAACTAGTCTCTTCAAAGATCATCTGGTTTCTTCCTTCCATACATGCCAGCATATCGCGTGAACAACGCAATAGATGAACCAAGCTTCGATTCCATCCAAGGTGTTGGTCTTATTGCAGTTTATGATAATGAAGATATCGCTAGAAGACAGATCCGGAAGTATGTCGTTGCTAAAAATCCACACGTGTGTGGTATAGCTGCAGTCAACCATGAGGTGATTAATAGATTCTTCTTCATTGTAGCACAAGACGCACCGGTTTGCCATCTCAAAGCCTTGTCTCTTCAGATTGTCGAGAGTGAGAATACTTTTATGCCAAACAAGCCAAATGAAACCACAAACTCTCGTAGGAATGATGCTATTCAAGACAGAAGAATACTGAAAATTAGCCACCCCAAGAAACCGCTCCTCAACCTGCCACTTGTAATATGAACTAACCGAAACGTCTTTTTTGTATCCGGATTCCACAACATCCGGGGTTGACTATTAGTGATTCTAAAGGAATTGGCTTTAATTTATTCAAAGAATGTAGCTCTCTCAATTTTTGCCCCACGCCGCAAATTAAAAGAGAAAGGAATTTCCCATAATATCGTCTCACCTGAGAAGGACACGGAGTCGACGATGCTAGCATTAGGGAAGGAAGTAGCAGCATGCGGAAAGGACTCTGCCATCGACTTCCCAGGGACCCAGTTATCATGCCAAAGAGAGATTGAGGTACCCGAACCAGGATCCACACTCGCCCCTTTCCTAAACAACTCGTTGACCTTGCAAATATTATTCCAAACATAACTGTTAAAACCTTCATCCATCTTCTTGGCTTTCCACTCCAAGGTTGGATTAGGAAACTTCATATTGATGAGCTGCCTCCACCAACTGTTTCTTTCAAAAGCATACTTCCATAGTCATTTACCCAGAAGAGCATTGTTGAAGCTCTCTAAGTCGATTACTCCCAATCCACCCTTTTGCTTTGATGCTTTGCATAAGACCCATCGGATCAAGTGTCTCTTGTTATCCCCACTCGCTCCAAAGGAATCTTCACCGAATCTTTTCGAGATTGTTCAATGCTATCTTAGGCGCCTTTAACAATGAGAAATGATAGACCGAAAGGAGGTCTTGATAGTTGCTCATCACCAGTTTCCAAATTGAAACAGAATTAGGGCGATCACCCAATGGAAGACTGCGATACTTAGAGGGCTTCACTACTCCATATACACCCGGGAATGTATCAAAGAAACTGGGTTAAGGAACATCACCAACAGTGAACATCGTAGACTTATCAAGGTTATATATCTTGAGTCTCGTAACCTCCTGGAAGTACACCATACGTAATACCAGGTTTCAATTTGTGGGATATTTGATGAATATTTAGACAGGTAAGGTGACTTTCATATTGCAACCATAAAAATGAGTTAATAGGTGTACCCACTTTTTTTAGGTAAGGTTGATATATATTAATAGAAAACAAAACAATAAAAACAACAAGAGTCAGAAAAAACAAGGGGTTCAAGGGAGCCCGCAAGGACAAAGACCAAACCCAGAAAGACAACCGTGCCACAAAATAGAGCAAAGCACAGAAAAGGCTTAATCAATCAAATGTCCACTATGTTCGGAATGAAGCCTCGCCTTGAGGTTAGTAAGCCAACTCTCAGCGACAGTCCGATCAACTTTCTGAGCCACAACCAACTTGCAGTTGCGCATCCAATTTTAAAGGAGATAAAACGCGGCGGGGCTTCAATCCCTTTGAAAATCCTTGAGTTCCACTTGATCCAAATATTCCAGCAGAAGGCGTGAAGAATAACTTTGGTGCACATATCATTTGGCAATTTACAAAACCAAGACTTAATTCTGCTCGTAATGTCAGTTTCCGCGTTGCTGTGAGTTTCAATTTTGATGAAGCAACTCAGGATTCCTACACTTCTCCTGAGAATCTGCAGCTGATGAAAAAATGGTTGATGGTCTCTACTTCGCATCTGCAGGGCACATCGACTAGGAAAATAAAATCCATTCTTCTTCATATTGTCATGCATTAGAATCTTTTTGTGACAGGCCATCCATAGAAAAGCACAGATTTTGCTAGGAATAAAGACGTGTACCCACTTTTAAAGTAGGCTTAGTTATTAATTTTTTAATCTAATCGCTAGATAACATAATTGTGGTCGGTAGGAATGGCGTTTGTGGCTGCTTTTTGTAATTGAATTTTCCTTTACGGCCTGTTTGGAAAGGCTAAGTTTTGAGGAAATGGAATTCCAATTCTCAAACTTTTCATGATTCTCATGTTTGGAAGTAAAAAATAAAAAGGAAATGGAATTCCAAAAGGTAAAAAGTTGGGAATTCTAAATCCTATCAAAAGTGGTCGGAATTGGTGGAGGGAGTGACGGAATTAGTGGACCCCACATTAATTTTGACTCACCTTTACAATAAAGCTCTTACTACTTTTGGATTTGAAATCATTAATACCAAGGATATTATTGTAAAAGCACTTGTAAGAAATCATTTCCATTTTTTTCCGAACATAAAAAGATAAAATCATTTCCCAAACTTTTGGATTTGTTCCAAACATAAACTCTTGAAATGAATTCCCACTTGAATTCAGATTCTCACAAGAAATGGAATTCATTTTCCAATAAAATTATATCCAAACAAGCTGTTAGTGGGTACGAACAGATCGATCCTGATTAGCTAGCTAAGCTAGGTCCTTTCTCAATAACGCAGTGTGGATAAACCAGTAATTAATAGCCGTGTTTTTGTCTATGTCGCCCGTAACTCATCAAAAAGAGAATATATGCCCCCCGACAAATAAACAAACGGAATGTGTGATTTGATTAATCAAAGGGTGTTTGGTCTAATATTTTGAAAACAATCCGTTGAGAACTCGACATTAGGTGAAATAGAGAAAACAAAAAGTCCTATATAGACGGCAAAAAGGGTCAATTACTCAATTATCAATCAACCTACGTACGTGTTATAAGTACGACCGATGGTTGTATATAAGCTCCTCCATAGGATCGGAGGTACGAGAAGAGGAGAAGGATTACGCGTTAATTACATGCATTGAAACAAGGATTATTGGGTTCAAAGTTTGATGTCGCAATCATCGGGACAAGCTACGGTGCTAATCCTATAGGAGGTTAGCACCGTACTAACTAATATTTAAATGGTTTAATTTTATTTTTTATTAAATAGCTATAATTAAATACAAAATAAATGATGATTTATCGAAAAAATTGGAAATGCGGATTTAATGGGATTCCTCTGGGGACGGTTGCTATTTTTGGGAAATATTAATTAATACACATTTTTTCAAAATAAAAACAGAAATTAAATTTAATGTAGTGAATTTATACTGAAAAAATGGGATTCCTACTGAAAAAATACTACTGCTTAAATTAATAGTGATTTTGTAAAGATGATGTAGTGATTTTATATTGGTAAGTAGTGATTTTGTTGCTATCAACAATTTTAATTTTGTTTATAGTTGATATTCTATTGTTATTAGTAGTGTTTCTCAATCACGACTTTACATAAGAATCAATTGAAAATTATAAACCATTACATAAAATACAAAATCACTATTATACAATCACTATTATACAATCACTACTAATCAAGCCATATCCAATACATAGAATAGCTACAAATCAAAGTACTAAACACTACTACGTTACAAAACCGAAACCGATACAGAGGTGGTAATAGAGAGATATGAGAGTTGGGGAAGCTACTACATATATGATCATTCATCTCCCAATAAACACACTACTACACACACTAAAAGGTAACTTTTACCGATCTGGCCGCCTATGAATCATGCAATGCAAAGCCGATGAAGAATGTCCTCAGGGTAGCAATCAACATTGTGATTGAGGATGGCGACGATGTGAACAGATCTAACCACCGTCCGCTACTCGTCGATGTTAGAAGCGCGATCGCAAACGTTCCGCGGTCGAGTTTCAACCTGTCTCTTCGAGAATGGCATCAACATGAACAGATCTGACCCGCCGCCCACTTCTCGCCGATGTCAGATGCGCGACGCAATCATGTCGCAGCCTACTTCTTTGCTTCTCAACGACGTTGGAAGCACGACCGCCCACTTTCCGTCGCAAGTCCTATTTGTTGTGGCTGCAGTTGACAGATGCCTCGCCATTGTTAAAAGAGAATGGATGGATGAGTGGTTTTGAGAGGAGTGTGTGAGGGGTAGGAGGCCGAGCGACAGTTTCACAAGAAGGGTGCGGCTACAATGAGGGTGGGTAGAATATATATATATTAGGGTTTGGGTTAATTATTATAGTTTTTTACCAAATTAACCTTTACTTAATTTTAATCGTTAGATTAAATTTTCAGGAAATATAGTTAGCATGGTGCTAACCTCTTAAGAGGTTAGCACCTAATCCCATCCCGCAATCATCTAATCAAACTTGTGTTGTCTTTTTGTCTTCTTTATGTTATAGTTAAATTTTAGTTAATATATTTGATAGATTTTTTAGTTAATATCATATTTTACCACTCTAACTAATTTTTTTCCAAAACATGTCCATCTGTTATGTTTCGCGTCGAAATATGTGTCACTCCATCATAACTATATTTTCAAACATGTCTTTTTGTTAGTTTTCTAACCATCTACCCCTAATTCAAGAAAATTACAATATAAAACCCACTCACCTACCACCACATTATTAAGTTTGATCGAGATTAACGTGAATTGGAAGGAAAAATTAAGATGCTCAAACTTAACAGACGAGCATGTCTGATAATATTTCCATAGCAGAGAAATATATTCGAGGTGAAATTGTTTGGTAGAATGAGCATATTTTGAGGGGAAAAGAAACACATCAAAGGAAAAATATAAAATCGGCCCTCAATGTTTGTCTTATTTTGTTTGTAATTTTTTTATAATCTTTATAACCGTCAGTATGTTCGGTCTACATTAATGGACAGAAATACTATGGTGTGGTCATCTGTTATCAATCGTTTTTTTCTAATTACGGTTGGTTTTAACTAAAATGTCTTGAGTTCTTACGTATATAGCTGCATGACGAAATATTTGATATCTCAAAGCAAAAGCAGAGAAAAATAAATTTTAAGAAATTCGAAAAGTATTAACAAAGCAGCGGACTAAAATTTTGCCAACTATTCTGTTTTTCAATCATGTATTTCTAACTGGAATTTTTTATTTATTTCCAACTAGATTTAGAAGTTGAGAAGAAATATTAATCTCCAAACCAGAACACATCTCCACCACTGCAAAAGCAAACAAAATTGTAGATATATATATATATACAAGTGTGTGGTATTATTAGACCTTGTACGATACATTTCGAGCATGCATGGCTTCGTATTATTTATGGCAACCTCGTGGCCGGTAATAATTATATAAACGTGGGTTAATAGTGCATTTGGAAACTTAGCATATGCAATTTGAATTATTAGATGATCTTTTTGTGTGATGAGCTCAATCGACTTGCACTGCATCATTACATCGTGCCACATGGTCATGATCACCACATGTTTATCTCATGTTTTCCGCGTGTCAATGACCAGTTGGTTCCAACAATTCGAGTTTTTGAAAAATATTAAATAATAGATCTTATACCACACTAACACCCCGAGAGGCATAAGGACTTTCATTTACACATGTCCATAATACAACAATACCATGTGCTTCATGAATAAGTGTCACCGAAATTCGAATAGAATATCTTTTGATCACAGAAGACTTTAATATCATATTAACAACTAATTGGTTCCAAGAACTATTGTCGAACGACTCTAACATCCGACCCACAAACGACGTGCAATAGCCAATAAGTGGAAAGAGGGAGACATATAATGTAAACGGGAAGTTACCGATATTTCGGATTAAGTTACATGTGTCGTGAAGAAAACCAAACACACCACTCCGGGAAATCGGGCCCGACCCGGTCAAAAAGCAAGCACAAACCAGAAAACCGACCACCCACCAGTTGTACGACCCGGGTCATACTCCCGCGTCCGGCGGCCGGAAATGGTTCAAGTCGCCGCCGCCAACGCGCCTGACATATTGTCAGGACGGAAGATAACTCTAGCTACCTTCACTTTCGACGGTTTGGTTCCACTGTCAACCCATAAATTACACACCACATAGTTGTGGTCTTGACGAAGTGAAAGGGACATGTAGAATTGATGTATACACACCATCACTTCTAGTTACATAAATTACGTGTAATATTTGGTGTCACTTTTGAAGAATGAAAGCGAAGGGTCCATCCAGTATATTTGTTTTTCGAAGGTAATATACCAACTATTTGTTTCTGAACGTTCAAAGCATGGATAATCTTACTGAACAACACCCTACTATCAGGCAGCAAAAACGTAAACGTCTAATTTTAAGAGAATAGCCTAGTAGTATTGTAGGGATGAGAACATCGATCATTCTCGAGACAGGATACGGTGACAACCCCTAAGGGGTTGTCAGATTGACAACCAAGGGTATTTTGGGTATGAAAAAAGGAATATATTAATTATTTTTTTTGTATTAATTAGATTGGTCATTAAAAACCCATATTATATACATTTTTTTTTAAAATTTAAATCCTATACATTAATATCTCTATCTATCTCTCTCTCTCTTCCTTTCTCCTGTGGCCACTCCGCTTCGATGGACAGACTTTTTCTCCGGCGAATTCTCTCCGGCAAACTCCCTCCAGCAACCTGAAAAAATGTACCAGTGCATTAAGAAGTGTACCAATCCATTAGTCTACTGGTATTTAATATACCAGTGCTAGTGGTACGCTACTAGTGCATTAAAAAATGTATCAGTGCTAGTGGTACGCTACCAGTGCTAATGGTACGCTACTAGTACTAGTGGTACGCTACCATTAGCAGTACCAGTACCACTGGTAGCGGTACCAGTACCACTGGAAGCGTACCATTGCCACTGGTAGCGTACCACTAGAGACTAGCACAAAAAAATCAGATCTGTAATATGAAAAATCACAGATCTGGAAAAAAAACCCAGGGATGACGAAAGGGGGAGGCAGGGGAGAGGCGGTGATCTCGTGGCGACGGTGGTGGTGGGAGACAGAGGGCGGCGGGAGGGTTGTGACGGGGAGAGGGTGATGGCGCGACGGTGGTGGGAGGAGGAGGCCGCGATGGCTGCGGAGCGAGGGACGTGACAGTGTTGGGAGGCGGAGGGCGCGACGACGGGTGGGCTGCAGTAGTGATTAGAGGCGGAGGGCGTGGCGGGTCGGCAGGACGGCTGCGACGATGATGGTGGCAGCCGATAAAGAGAGAGAGGGAAGAGACGGGAGGAAGAAGAAGAAGAAGAATAGGAAGAAGAAAGATGGCGTGAGAGAGAGAGAGAGGAAAGAGAGAATGTAGGGTTTTAGGTATTAATAGGGGTAATAATCTGGTGTGGTCAATTTTTTTCATCTAAGAATACCCTTAATCCAATTTGTACCATTAATTTGAAAAAGAAAAAAAAAGACAAGAGAGAGAATAAATCCTATGTTTATAAAATGAGTTATCAATCTCACAACCCCTAATGGGTTGTCACCGTATCTCATTCTCGAGACAGGATACGGTGACAACCCCTAAGGGGTTGTCAGATTGACAACCAAGGGTATTTTGGGTATGAAAAAAGGAATATATTAATTATCTTTTTTGTATTAATTAGATTGGTCATTAAAAACCCATATTAAATACAATTTTTTTTTAAATTTAAATCCTATACATTAATATCTCTATCTATCTCTCTCTCTTCCTTTCTCCTGTGGCCACTCCGCTTCGATGGACAGACTTTTTCTCCGGCGAATTCTCTCCGGCAAACTCCCTCCAGCAACCTGAAAAAATGTACCAGTGCATTAAGAAGTGTACCAATCCATTAGTCTACTGGTATTTAATATACCAGTGCTAGTGGTACGCTACTAGTGCATTAAAAAATGTATCAGTGCTAGTGGTACGCTACCAGTGCTAATGGTACGCTACTAGTACTAGCGCTACCATTAGCAGTACCAGTACCACTGGTAGCGGTACCAGTACCACTGGAAGCGTACCATTGCCACTGGTAGCGTACCACTAGAGACTAGCACAAAAAAAATCAGATCTGTAATATGAAAAATCACAGATCTGGAAAAAAAACCCCAGGGATGACGAAAGGGGGAGGCAGGGGAGAGGCGGTGATCTCGTGGCGACGGTGGTGGTGGGAGACAGAGGGCGGCGGGAGGGTTGTGACGGGGAGAGGGTGATGGCGCGGCGGTGGTGGGAGGAGGAGGCCGCGATGGCTGCGGAGCGAGGGACGTGACAGTGTTGGGAGGCGGAGGGCGCGACGACGGGTGGGCTGCAGTAGTGATGAGAGGCGGAGGGCGTGGCGGGTCGGCAGGACGGTTGCGACGATGATGGTGGCAGCCGATAAAGAGAGAGAGGGAAGAGACGGGAGGAAGAAGAAGAATAGGAAGAAGAAAGATGGCGTGAGAGAGAGAGATCGAGAGAGGAAAGAGAGAATGTAGGGTTTTACGTATTAATAGGGGTAATAATCTAGTGTGGTCAATTTTTTTCATTCAAGAATACCCTTAATCCAATTTGTACCATTAATTTGAAAAAGAAAAAAAAAAGACAAGAGAGAGAATAAATCTTATATTTATAAAATGAGTTATCAATCTCACAACCCCTAATGGGTTGTCACCGTATCTCATCCCTTCTCTAAGTACACAATTGAAACCAACAACTATCTAAAAAAATGCGTAAAAATCTATTGTTAGCTCAACGTTATGGTACACAAATTTCTATCACGGGATCGTGTCGGCTGATTTTACGAGGCCAATCTCTCTGCCAACTCAAAGTGACATGTATTATGTTGGTATGATACTAGTAAAACATTTTATTTTATTTTAACAGTAGTATTACACCTTTACGATCTATAGTTGCATCTTTAAAAAATTAAGCTGCTAACTTGCCTGTTACAATTTCACAAAGAATTATTGATCTATAGTTAGAATGTTAATTTTGGTAATTATAATTAATTTTTATTTTAATTTAATTATTAAACTGCGGTGGAAATTAAAAAGATTAATTTTATTTTAATTAATTTTTATTTGACACGTCACTCATTTAACGGTCGACTCTCATAGTTGACTGCCACGTCAGATAAAATTAACGGAGACTATCGGAGGGTGACCAAACTTGAATAGTTGAACAAATTTAAGTAACCATGAATGGAATAAAATAATTTTAGTAAAAAATGTGAAATGTTCTAGTAATTTCAGTGACCAAATTAAACTTGCAATTTACCCATTTTCTATTTCATAAAGATTGAGATACTCTCTTCACTAGTTCTTTTCCCCCTCAAAAGTTGGTTGACTGTCACTTAAAACGAACCTAATGAAATTGGAAGGCTAAAAATTTTGTCAACAGCAAACGTGAAACAAATTGTAAAACCGAATAACCATACATGCGGTTTAGCTATTTTCCAACAGTTATTAGGGATGGCCATGGGTGGGTAGAGCCAATGTGTCATTGGAACCAATTGTCATGACTCATGTGGGTATTGGGTTGAACCCAAATTGACTCAAACTTCAATCCTAATAATTTTGGGTTTGAAGTGAGTTCAATTTTGGCTAGACCAAAATGAGTCTATGTACAAATGAAATAGCAATATTGACTATCGATCTCACTATTCTGTCTTAAGAAATTCACACTTCAATTTTGTCGTTTTCAAATTTATCTTTGTTTTAGAACAAATTTTTTTTTTAGCACAATATAGTTGGTTATCCAATGTACCATTTCTAATCTTTAGACCCAAACTAAAAGGTTGGGTATGGGTCTGCCACAAAAGTGATATTACCGAAACTTGATTTGACCAATAATGTATGAAGTGGTTAAGTACCATACATGGACCTCTCCCAACAACTTGAGCTATTAAGATCAGTTGGTTTACGATATGATATCAGAATTTGGTTTGTACTTGAGTCCACATGTGCAAGTCCTCACGACCCCAATATTAGTCATTGTCTTAAAGCACATGGTATGAGGATTGAGGAGGCTTGTGAAAACTTCAAACCATGAGTCGACTTCCATTTGTGAGACGTATAAGAAAGTGATTAAATACTATATATCGATCTCTCCCATCAATTCGAGTTATTGGGATCACTCCCAAAATTGGTTGGTTTTTTTTTTTCCCCATCCTATCTGTTATTAGTATGTATGTATATATACCGTCAAAGGAAAATTCCCCTCATTGCTAGCTAATATGTATGAATTATTTCTTTTTTCGAATTATTCTGAGGAACCAACCATATGTTATATGTCCATATATATAGATGTAATACCCTAACTTTGAACAGTCAAGGGGTGGATCAGATTTGCATGGCTTTCAAATATTCTGACCTGCAGCAAGTACTTACCTATTGATTTGTATATATACAAATTGAAATGCGTTGCACATTTCCATTGTTTAATATAGTAGTAGCATATGTCCTAGGTTGGGCAAGCAGACATAAACAATTGATCCAATCATGTGTTCGTTTTCCTACCAAGAAGAAAGAAACACAAATTCTATTTTTCAATTTGCATGCAAGCTTGCTAGCTATCAAGTTGATTGATTCAATTAAACATGGGCTCTATATATTCAATCCGGCTATCGTGCTCAGAATATTGTATTGGGTTTCTCTCTTTCTTTTCTTTTTTCATATTAATAAATAATGCCGCCTATATATAAAAAAAAAATTTGTGTGTCGTCCAAGCGGACGCAAAACATCTGTGATCATTGCATGAGAATTGAGAATTGCTACCGCATCCGTCCAACATTTAGGAAGCGCCTTGCTTCCAATCAGACAACGCACAAGCTCTGTGAGCATGTGCTCAAAAATTGAGTTGTACGTGAGCTAGGAACAGGATAACGTGCGTCTCCAAGGCAGAACTCGACCTGACGGATTTGGCCAACATTCACCAAATTCATCTGGCTAAAACAATCCGGAAAATAATAATACAATCCAGTCGTAACACATTATAAATATGGGTTGATAATTACTATATTTATGTGTACTGTTTATGCCGAGTAACCTCCCTCACGCGCTTCACGCCCCGGACGCCCTCGTTCCTCTTACGGCCTTCCTTCCTGCACTCACACAGGCGCCTTGCGGACCAGGATGGTCCGTTAGCACTCCAACGCTCAAGTGAGAACCTACTTTTTAGAGAGAGAAGTGGTAGAACGATTCTAGTAAGAGAAGCAAAAACTGAGTAAATGAGGTTTACCTACTCGACTATTTATACCCGGGGGCGAGATCGACCGGTACACGTCGCTCTCGCCCTGTGTCAGACCCGTCATAAATGCACCATGCACCCCTAGCTTATGCGCCTCGACCATCTGACACGTCGGTCAGAGATCGAGGGCGCATGACATCATCTGCCCAGCTTTTCGTACACTTCCGACCGTTGTTCTCTTTTGTCTCACACGCCCTTCGCCAGGGACCTGGTCCCACCTGTCCCTCATGCTGTCTTCGGCCGCCCAGCCCCAAGTCTGGACGCCCTTCAGCCCAATGCTCCTGCCCTCATGGGCTTTCCCTGTCCCCTTGGTTGGGCCCGTGCCCCCGGTCCATCATGATCCATCTTGGGCTTTTCCTTTCTGGGCTGGCCCATGCTCGTTCCCCCAACAATTGCCCCCCAGTTAGGCGCGTAACCCCCAAAGTTAGGGGCCTGACTGTGTTCTTTATTCTTTTTCCGCATCTGCTTGGACCTGCACCTCCTTGGACCTGCGCCTCCTTGGTCCTGCGCCTGCTCCATCATTCGCCTGTGCCCGCGCGCGTACGCGTTCTTTTCCTCGCTACCCAACATTTGTTTTTATTATTATTTTTTATTTTTTTTATTTTTTATTCTTTATTATTTATCCGTGCTCTTTGCCCAGTTTCCGCCTCTTTTTTCGTGCCCTGTTTCCCTTGCGATTCCTCTCTCTTCCCTCCCCCCGATCCGCTCGCGTTTTGAAATTCAAATTTCAAAAATCGGGAGTGGATTGGGTGAGACCGTTCGCCTTCCCTTCCTCTCTCTCCTTCGCTCGCCCCTCTTCTTCCTATAAATTCCTTTCTTCCCCTTCACAGCCCACACAATTCACAAATTCCCTCTCTCTACTTCTTCTCTCTAGTTTTCCATCTTCTCCCTTGCTCTCGACTTTTCCTTCCCCACACGCCTCGCTCGCTATGGCTTCTTCCCGTCAAATCCCCCTCAGCACGCATACGCCTTCCGCCGAAGCGGCTGCCCCCCATCGCGGGTCTTCTCCCCCTCTCACCGAGGCGCCTCCCACTTCGTCTGCACCATCGCAACCCCAGGCGCCCGCTGTTCGCGACGCCCCGAACGCTTCTGCAACCCCGGCGCCCGTTGTTCGCGACGCCCCAAACGCCTCTGCAACCCCGGCTACATCGAGTAAGTCTTCCTCCACGCGCCTTCCTTGTTATCTTTGGATCATTTTTGCTCAATTCTTTCAACATGCATCGCAGCGCCAATCATAGGGTTCAGGCGCCTCCTCCTCAAATTTTTTTTTTTTTTTAGGGTTTAAGCGCCCCCTACGCACTCCGTTACCTTATACACCTTGCCCCTTCCTTTTACTCAGGCGCTCCCGTGTCCCAAGACTACATGTTTCGGCCCTGGGACTCGATGTGGCCTCCCGGCTATGCGCCTCAAAACACTTACCTGTTGCCCCTAGAAGAGGTCGGTCCGCATCACGCCTCGAAACAACTAGGGGTGCGCCTAGAAAAACTCGTCGTATGCGCGCAACTCCCTGCGCCCTGGAGATACATACATGCGCCACCCGAGGCGCGGAGAGGGTTATGCGGAGAGGGGTGGGTGGGCTTGTATCAAGAATTCATCCGATTCGGCCTACGCTTCCCCATCGAGCCCGTCCTTGAGGGCGTCATGGTTGCTTGCGCGTGTCCCCTCGCACGCCTTTCTCCCTCCATTATTTTGTCCACCATTGCCTTTCGCTATCAGCGTCGAAGACACAATGTGCCCCCCCACCTTTAGACTTTTCAAACACTTTTTTAAAATGATCCGGAGCGACAACTGCTTGATCTTACAAAGGCGTAGGTTAGGGTACGGGTTCATCAGCAGCTGCCGGAAGATGGGGCGCTCGTGGTTTGACTCGTTTTTCTTTGTCAAACCACGTGAGGTGCCCTTCTTTGAGAGTGGGCGCCCTGTGAGTTCAGAGTGGTCGTTGGGGAATCTCTTCGAATTTAACAAAGTGGAGGCTCTAAGCCAGGCTGAGCTAGACATGGCGAAGAGTATATCAGCCCATCCCATCGATCTCGATGCCGGGAACGATTACGCTTATATTCTCGCCGATTTCTACGGCGACGGTACTGACTATGCGCCTTCTCATAGGTTATGCGCCTCTGTTAACGTTATGATGTATTTGGGGCTAACTCGTTTCTTTTCTTGGTACAGGGACTGACTTTACCTCGGTGACGAACCTGATAAAGTCAAAGCTCGACCGCCTCCGCAACGCCAACGTCGGCCAAGGCGCTCCCGCCACCCAGGCGCCTCGTCCGGGCGGGACGCAACCTATGAGGCTAAGGGTGAAAAGGCCCGCTGCTGCCAGCTCTTCGTCAAGGGGGCGCACTGCCTCGCCTTCGGGGGCGGCTGTTCGCGACTCTCCGCATGCCTCTTCTGCCTCGGCCTCACCTTCTCACTCCACGCCTCGGGAGACAGTCGGGGTGAGCACGCCTCCCTCTCCTTCCTCCGTTGGCTCTCGTAAAAGAGCGGGCGGTACCTTGCAAGGCTCGGGGAAAAAAGGCAAGTCTGCCACCATGCGTGAGCCGGGTCTGCCCCGCAGCTTCGTGGAGCCCACCGTTGGGCCGCACACTGGGGAGGTGATTCCTCCCTACCTTCAGTCCAGGCGCCCTCTCGTCAAGGTGCCCGTGGACGTGCCCGTCCGGGCGGCCAAAGATGTCCCGGCGGCCATGGCAATGGCCAAGGCGCACTACGACGTGATAGAGCATCCGGGTGGCCTAATTTCCGACAAGCCTTGGACGAAACTGACGAACATGAGCGTTCAGGTAAGGAGGCGCATAGTACTTCTTTCACCGATTTCTTTTGCCCCCCTTATCATGTGAATATTTGTTTGTAACTGTTTGCTATCTTTCGTCGATGCGCCTCAGATGATGCTCCTCTGTGAGGCCACCACGCGTGAGATTGCGTCGATCGCGTGAGAGGGGACAGACGCAGCCATCTCCGCCGAGCGCCTGCGGAAGGATTTGGATGCAGCGAAGTCTGACCTGGATGCCAAGTTGGCGGCCGAGCGCCTCAAGGCCCGAACTGAGCTAGAAGGAGAGATCAAGGCACAGGCCGAGGCGGACAAGGCTGAGTGGGAGAAGGCGACCCATGAGCTCCGAGAAAGGGGCGCCGCGCTCGTTCGGGAGCGGGACGCGTTGCTGGATGAGAAGAACGTGCTGCAACAGGCTGTTGACGACTTGGAGGAGGCGCATAAGAAGACCAAGAAGTCCCGGGCGCATTACAAGCGTGAGCTGAAGAAGTCTCAGACTGAGGTGGGGCGCCTGAACCAGGACTTGGCTGACTTCCCCGAATCGGATGCTGGCAAAGATCTTCAAGCCAACGTCGTGATTAGCACTGTTGAGATTCTCCAGGCTAAGTTCCAGGCTGACCACCCAGAGTTGGCCTTTGACAGCATCGCCCTCATCGAGCACGTGGTTAAGGCCATGGAAATCCAGCAGGCGGGCGCCTCGGCTGCTGCAGATGCGCCACCGGCGAATGATGAGGCGCCTAGCGGTGGGAGAGGAGTTGTGGCCACGCAGGTGGAAGAGGAGGAGGAAGAGGGTGATGAGGAGGTCAGCGTAGAGTGAAAGCACGTTAATGAACCAGCGGTTTTTTTTTTTTTATATATATGAACAAGTAGTTGATTTCCTGCCATTACTTCTTCCATGGCGCATTACCCTTTCCTTGCTGCTTTGCTGCTAACGTTACCTAAGGCGCATTAGGGATTAGAGGGCGCTTTGAGAATTACTTGGATAAAAACTACTCCCGAACTTTGTGCTTGCCCCCAAAAATTATTCACAACTCAGGGCGCAATAGGGAGGGCGTGCTTGGAATTACTTGCATAAGTATAAATAACTTACGGGGCGCGATTAGCGGGTGCATTAGGGATAACTTGTGGGGCGAGGGCGCCATTAGAGGGCGCATTAGGGGGTGCGATTAGAAGGCGCATTAGTGATAACTTGTGGGGCGCGATTAGAGGGCGCTTTAAGAATTACTTGGATAAAAACTACTCACGAACATTGTACTTTTCCACAAAAACTACTCACAATCTTAAGGCGCAATTAGAAGGGCGCTTTTGGAATTACTTGACAGAAAGTCACAGGGCGCGAACTGGAAGGCGCTTTTGTAGGTGACACTTGGCGAACACAGGGCGCAATTAGAAGGGCGCTTTTGGAATTACTTAAACTACTCACGAACATTGTAATTGTCCACAAAAACTACTCACAACTTAGGGCGCGATTGGAAGGGCGCTTTCTGAATTACTTAGATAACTACGGGGCGCAGCTGGATTGGGGCGCTTCACACACTCAACCCCCCTGGCTCCACACAAAATCTGCCCCCTTCTACTCATCCTCCCTACTTGGCCTTACCCTACTAACTCTTCTTCTTCCTTGTTGTGATAGACCCGTAGGTTCTGCGCATTCCATGTGCGTTTGATGCTCTTCCCACTCATGCGCTCCAGCTTGAACGTCGCTGGCCCCACCACCTCGCGAACTCGGTAGGGCCCCTTCCACTTTGGTGCTAACTTCCCCTCACTGGCCTTGGGCCTGAAATCCCTCTTCAACACCATGCTCCCTTGCCGTATTTGGTGAGGGTGCATCTTCCTGTTGTAATACCTTGCCACTTGCTGCTTCGTAGCCTCTAGGCGGAGGGAAGCGACATCGCGCCGCTCTTCTAGCATGTCAAGGTCGTGCACGCGCTCTCCCTCGTTAGCCTGCGCCTCATAGCTTGCCATTCTGAAGGTTGGAATGCGCAACTCCACCGGGATCACTGCTTCGCTCCCGTACGTGAGTGCAAACGGGGATTCTACTGTTGCCACCTTGTATGTCGTTCTATGTGCCCATAGCACGCTCGGGAGCTCCTCAACCCACCTGCCTTTTGCCTCCAGGAGTCTCGTATGCAATCCGTGCAGAATGCTTTTGTTAGCAGCCTCTGCTTGCCCGTTCGCCTGAGGATAAGCCACGGATGAGAAGCGCAGGATCACCCCCTTCTTGTCACAGAAGTCAACAAAGTGCTTGCAATCAAATTGCTTCCCATGATCGGTCACTATGGCCTCTGGCAATCCAAACCGCGTGAAGATGTTCCTGTTCGTGAACTTACGGACCTGCGCCTGAGTAATGGACGCCAGAGGTTCAGCTTCGATCCATTTGGAAAAGTAATCAACTGCCACTATCAAATATTTCATCTGCCCGGGCGCCTTGGGGAATGGTCCTAGCAAGTCCATGCCCCATTGGGAGAACGGCCATGCGCCCACATTTCCCCGCATAGGCGCAGCGGGAACGTGGATGTCATTGGCATGTATTTGGCATTGGTGGCAGCTGGCCACGTGCTTTGTTGCATCCGCCCTGATGGTCGGCCAGTAATACCTCTATCTCAACAGTACCTTCTCGAGACTGCGCGCTCCCGCGTGCATGCCACACGCCCCCTGATGGACTTCTTCAATTGCTTTCTTTCCTTCTATCTCAATGAGGCACCGTAGCTAGACGCCGGAGTGCGACCGCTTGTACATCTGGCCATCAATGATGGTGCAACGCGCGGCCTTGCGCCGTAGCCGCCATGCGTCCCTGTCGTTTTCTGGGAGGACCCCTTGCACTAAGTATGCCCTGATGGGTGACATCCAGCTCTCACTCTCTTCGGCCTCGGTGATCGCTCCTATGACAGATTCACGCACTGAATGCTCTTTGGTGACGATGACTTGCCTATCTTCCTCGAAGTCGGTTGCCGTGGCGAGCTTAGATAGAGCGTCCGCGTGGGCGTTCTCCTCCCTTGGTACATGTATGAATTCCACCTCCTTAAACCACGCCCCCTTGGCCTTTACCATAGTAACATAGGTGCTTAGCGCCTCCTTTTTAACCTCGTACACGCCGTTCAGCTGATTCACCACTAACGCAGAGTCCGAGCGGAGCTGTACCTTTTGGGCACCGAGTTCTCGAGCCGTGTGGAGCCCCGCAATCACCGCCTCGTATTCCGCCGCGTTATTGGTTTTTAGGGTCGCAAAACGGAGGGCCAACTCGTGCGTCGCACCCAAGGGGCTCACAACCACCACTCCGGCCCCCGCACCCAACTTGCTCGCTACGCCGTCCACGTAAACCTGCCAGGCTTCCTCTGCGTCGTCTCCTGCACTGACTACCCCTTCAGCCACAAACTCAGCCAATACTTGCGCCTTTATCGCCGGGCGGGGCGCATAGCTTATGTTGTACTCGCTCAGTTGCAACGCCCACTTGACCATGCGCCCTGCCAC